TGCTGACGCGAGGGGGTAAGAACAAAGTGTGTTTAGAAAGGTACATCCTCTGCAATATTCTCTCTCAATCAGGGGTTCTGTCAAATTCAGGCTGTATTCAGATCATTTGGATAACTATCCTTTATGAATTTGTTTAAATCCATTTTCAACTTATTCATTCTTTTAGACTTGGCAATATTCTGCAACAGTCCTTTTCCAGTATTCAAATAAGCATTATGTACAAAACTATTTTTATTTCTTTTAAACATATTCACCAATTGGCCACAGTCAATAGTTGTGGCAGTAGGAATGCCATCACAAAAGGATCTCTGCTTCGCTCCCAGCCACCTGTGAGGCTTTGCAAGGAAAAACAGATCATATCTATTGATCTTAAACTAACACATTAAGACTCCAGGTTTTCCCAATCCATCTGGAGCAAAAGGAAATGGTCAACAAGAATGTACCTTTGAAACTGGCTCCAGGGCCAGAGGGGGAACTTCCAGTAAGTACTAAGCTTAGACTGAAGTTCTGCCTTCAGCCTAATAGATGTTTGTGTCCTCAAGTCTAGAGTGAATCTATCCACCATTCAGTGAAAGTGCCAATAAAACCACTGACTTAGGTCCCATATCTTCCTTTAGACCCTATTCAATATTTCATTAACACTAGAAGTAGCAGTTTCACTTCTTCCAAAGCTGACGATCCATCTAAGATATCAGCGTGTCATGCCTGCGGAACAGGGTGCCACATGTCCTCATCAGCATTAAACTCACTGCAGGGTAGCGCAGCTGCCGTAGTGGTGGGAAAGCCAACAGGGACCAGACAGGAGATGTTGTCCGAGGACATGGCTTCTTAGGCGGCAGCTTCCTCCACCAAGTTGGTCGCTAGCACGGGAATAATTTCCACGTGCCCTCACAGTTCAGGTCACCACAAGCCCAAAGCAGGGTGTATAATCAAACACTCTGCAGTTAGTATGTCTCCAGACCCAGACCAGCCCTGATGGGCACCTGTATATATCCCACGTTTTTACACAGCTCTGGCACCTTCTCATATTCCTTAAACAATGTGGTACCACGTGTACCGATAAAACAAGCCTGCTCTCTCTCACACAGTCTCAGAGTCAACCACTATAACCAGCAGACCCAAAGTTAGTTGAGCTTTTGTAATATTGCCCTAGGGTGATACGAGTCCCTCATTTATCTCCCCGCTCCAACAGGCAATTCCTTCACGCTTCCTTACATCCCCATCCCAGCACCACCTCAGCACTCCTCTTGCATTCTCCCCAGTACAAGAAGCATCCACAGGGCAAAGGAGACAAAGTGTTGGTTTATATTTATTGCATTTATTATTAGTGCATCCCCAAATTTGCTCTTATCTGACACATCGTAAGCTCATTTTGTGCAAAAATGACATAGCGGATTCCTTTTGACATATCGAAGCAGATCTTTTGCCTTGGATTCCACCAGTGATAATGCGTCCACAGCAATTCGTCCTGTACTTACTGTTGGGAAAGGCAAAAGCACTAGGTCAGCAACAGACCTGCTTGTGTGTCTGTGAAGCAGAGTGCACACCTTGCAGAAACATTCAGATGGAATTTGGATTACTATCTGGGGTGCTGGAAGCATTTTAGCCTTGTTAGCAAAATGCTTCGGCTGAGCCAATTAGCCCTAATTACAGGAGCAGTTATATTAGACCAGGGAGACTTGTATCCTTACACAGTTATATTACTTTGCAGTTTATCTCCAGTATCTCTGCATAAACTTCACTATGCCTTACAATGAGAAAATACAGGTTAGAAAAGTGACCACTGGTTTTGCCAGGGTGAAGATAAGAACAGAGGTGGATAAATGAGTATGAGGCTGCCTGTAATCCTTTTTCTTAGCCAAGTGGCTTAGAAGGTGAGGACTATGTATAAAAGCTTGAATCCTCTAAACATACCTCCACTTAGTTTCTTCCAAAGCAGGGAAAAAATATCTGATTTAAGAATAAGAAAGAAAAGTAATGGAAAATATTTTTTTTACAAATTTGCTGAAGATGTTTCAATACGTTTAAAGCCCCCACTAGATACCTAGGATAGTGCAGAGCTGGTGAAAACACACAGACATCATTTGAATGCACTACCAGCAGCAGCTCACTATTCCTTGCAACGTCACTAAGGAAGATGAGTTATTTTTGTTCTCCTAATGGTGAGTGAGAAATTAGAGCAGAGAAGTTTTGTGATTTATCCAAGCCCTGGGGAACGTGGCGGGGCATCCAACTCAGAAATCCCAACGTGGTGGTTCCCAGTCCTGCGTCGTGCCATCCCTTGCCCCAGGCATTAAAAGACAGTATAATTAGAGCTCCCCAGTGAGTGGTTCGCCAGCAGAGCCCTGGGAGGAGGAGGATGTCACAAACTAACCTAACAACTATGCTGCCGCTGGGAAGCAGGAGAGCTGCCTCTCTGGACCTGAAAAGCCGTTGTTACAGGGAAATGTGCGGGTCGCCACTGCATTTGCGAAGCCTCCTGCCCGCTACGTGCGGTCTCTATCTCCTGTGTGCCCCTTTCCAGGAGGGGAAGAGCTGGGGACACCAAACAAAGAAGCAGTAGCACTTCCCCAGGCCGGGAGGGCAGCCTTGGTGTGCATAATTCAGTGTGGATTCAATGTCCAGTGAGATGCCACTGGACATGCAGCGAAGCACGCTGGGACCCAGTGCCCCGACCCGGGGCATCTGTAGCAAAGGGAGGGACATTCTGGGGGACCGTAGGGGGAAAGGGAGGCAGGAGGCACTCACCAGCAGGAGGACAAAGCAAGAGCAAGCACCACCCAAGAAAAGCGAGCAGGGGCAGCATCTGTAGCATCCCTGAAGCATGGATGTTCTGAAGCATCCCTGGGGGGGGGTGAGGGTGCTATGGGTCCATGCACACCACTGTGGGAATGTTCCCAGAGGTGTGGGGGCTCTGGCCACACAATGCACCAGCATTAATGGGATGTGGTGGGGTGATCACAACACCCCAGGTAGGAAAGCTGATCAGGCTTTGGAGACCCGGCCACTGGCATGCACCAGGAATTACTTGCCCCGCTCCTTGTCTGCCCTCAGTTTCCTGGGCTCTTATAGGGCCGTTCTTTAACACTGGGGGGTTCCTTGTAAATAAGGCTCATGTGCTGCTGCAGTTGGGCTGTATAACCTCTCTGCCCCTCCAAGGGTTTGAGGAACAAGATGGTGTCAACGTGTAGCGCTGGAATGCTCGGGTCTCTGCCGGGGCTGGGGAAAGCAAGCGAGGAGGCTTCGTCCCCCCGCACCCCCTAATCCTGCGCAGCATTGACAGCAATCCATTTCCAGGAGCCGGACTCTGGATGCGTGGGATGGCGAGCGAGAGGTGGTCACGAGGCAGCGGGCGGGAGACGATGGGGGTCAGCCCGGCACGAAGCACCCCCGTCTCGGAGCCCCTGCGCGCTGCACAGCTGGCTGCCTGCTCATGGCGGGGCAGGTGCGCAGCCGGGTGCTGCTGGCAGGGACCGCCACCACTGCCCGCGGCTGCCAGGACCAGGCTGCTCCCCGGGGACACTCGGCCTCATGCCGGGCTCGGCGAGAGGAGGGAGATTTCTTCAGCGTGGGCAGAGAGGCTGCCATCGGTGACCACGTAATGAGACATGATTTCACATGCCGGCGCTAAAACTCTGCCCCGCCAAGCGCAGCAGTGCGGGCGGTCAGGCCCCTCCGCTCGAGGTGCGGTCTGTCAGGATTATTCCTCCCGAAATCGCCCGGCAGGCGCCCGTGGGGAGGTCGGGGGCTCCTAGCCGGTGTCTGAGGGGGCGGCGGGCAGCCTCGACACGCAGCCCCGCTTTCCTCACACCGCACTGCTCTGAGGAGTGCCCCCACCTTTCGTATTTTCGGTCCCCGCAGGGACGCTGCCCAGGCGCCACAGCGTGGGTGCAGCGTGGGGGGCGGCGGCAGCCCCC